GACCACTTCCTTCTCTAATTTTTACCCTTGCATTGCCCACGCAAAGGGACGAGTCAAGTTGAAATGGCAACATCCTTCTCTAAATTTTTCCTTGCATTGCCCACAAAATAGTTGGAATGGCAGCATCCTGCGTTAAATTTTGTCCCTGCATTGCCCAGGCAAGGGTGAGTCAAGTTGGAATGACCACTTCCTTCTCTAAACTTTACTCCTGCCTTGCCCACACAAAGGTGTGAGTCCACTTGGAAGGGCAACTTCCTTCTTTACATTTTACCCCTGCGTTGCCCACAAAAGGGTGAGTCAAGTTGGAATGACCGCTTCCCTTTAAATTTTTCCCCTGCATTGCCGACGCAAAGGGGTGAGTCAAGTTGAAATGGCAACATCCTTCTCTGAATTTTACCCCTGCATGGCCCACCAAAGGGTGACTCAACTTGGCCGGACAACCCCTGCATTGCCCACATAAAGGGTGAGTCAACTTGAAACTCACCAAAAATTTGCAACGGATTCCATGACTTCTGCTTCCTCTAAATTTTTACCCTCGGGTGGCTCACAAAAGCTTTGCATCTTTTTCGGTCCCGGCCCGGTCTCCGACACGGTCCCCGGCCCGGTCGCCGGTCTTCGGCCCGGTCACCGGTCCGGTCCCGGCCCGGTCTCCGACCCAGTCTCCGGCCCGGTCCGCGGCCCGCTCGCCCGGTCACCGATCCGGTCTCCGGCCCGGTCCCGGCCCGGTCACCGGTCGCCGCCCCGGTCACTGGTCCGTCTCCGGTCCGGTCCGGCCCGGTCACAGGTCACCGCCCCGGTCACTGGTCCGTCTCCGGTCCGGCCCGGTCACCGGTCACCGGCCCAGTCACCGGTCCGGTCTCCGGCCCGGTTTCCGGTCTCCGGCCCGGTCTCCGGCCCGGTCTCCGGTCCGGTCTCCGGCCCGGCCCGGTCCGGTCACCGGCCCGGTCACCGGTCACCGACAAAAAAAGTATATACTCAGGGATTCGGGACTTGGAGGATGGAACTGGCAGACCTAGGAATCAAAAGGGCAGTAGTAAAGGAGGGGTTCAGCAGATGTCAATGTATAGAGAGTCTTTTAGCTAGCGGCTAGTGGTCTCCCTGAGCATTAGCTACCCTTGGCATTTCTTGGCAGGTGAAGCTGAACAC